ATCCTCACAGATTCAGTTTTATATAAATCCAACAAATCAGATTATACTCTTTCTGCAACTTTAATTGCTTCCTATAATTGCCTGAGGCCACCATGGTCAATTTCCAATATTTGCTGTGCACACATCTTAAGGTTGACTTTGGTATCCAAACTCCAGTCTTCTAGTAAAGACTGAACACACATAGCCAAGCAGTCTACATTTTTGTATGCTTCTCTATGTATAATAAATATGCATTCCTTGAACGTTTCCACACTACAGACAATTACTCAATTTGCTATGAATGTTTCCACTCTGAATTTTAATTCTGTATGCTGGCCACAACATAATGACAATGTATTACATGAAAACTAACAGTATGAAACAGAAACAGCTAAAACTAACTCATTTTAACAGACTGAGATCATATTCTTGGCACAGTCCCACCCCACAGTTTCTGGTTTGCATTTATGTTATGCACTTATCTCAGGATCCTTCACTAGAATGTGCGCCATACAGCCCCTTGTAGTTCAGTACTAAAGAACTGATTGTACTTATTTACAAAGAAAGCCCTAAACACAGACAGACAGATAAATTCAAAAGAACAACTTGTCTGGATTTTCAGTGCCATCAAACTTGGAAAAAGAAATAAATCTCAAAATTAACACAGGCTTATCTCCTCGTGTATTTTTCCTCAAGTAAATTTATCTTTGAAGGTTTCTACAAGCTTTCTTATACTCCGGGATATCACAGATCTAAACCTTGAACATCTGCCTTTTCTGTGAAGAGTTCTTTTACAAATTCCATCCAATATACACTTCTCTTTCCTGAGAGCACAAAGTCCTTCAAGTGCTTCCAGACTTTTATTTGTGTCTTTTCTGAGATGCATTCCATTGAGCTACCATCCTCCTAGTGATACTCATTTCTAAAACTTACATTCTACTTGCTATTCTGTGGTTTAGATTTCCTCATGTTATTTATTTATTTTCAGTTTTCCAATTTTGTTCTGGTTCCTTCTCTTCTGAAAATTTTATCATCATTTTCAGTTTTGAATTAAACTTACTAATCCTTTAGACTACAAATATGGTGTAACTCACAAAGCATGTAAGAGGACATTAATCAAATGTTAAACACTGGGAAACACACATTTAAGTTATTTCAAGCAACATATACAACCATCAATTAAAAAATTAGAAAGGCACCTCTTCCTCTCTTTCCATTCAGAATTACTTACCACTTCTGCAAACACAGACCTTGGGCACATCTACCTTAAACTGCCTATCATTATTATGGCACAGCTGCCCTGTACTAACATCTAAAGGTGTTTGACTCTATATTTCAGTAAGATAGCTCAGCTCTAGCCCCAAATAACCTGAAGATGAACCACCTCCCTAAACAATTTTAAACCAATGCAGCCTATCAAGTCATTTAAAAACAATACCCCTCCACTCTTGAATATACATCACTTCTGAGCTGACATAAACACTCCATTGACAAATCTGCAGTAAGGAAGCACATTATCCTGTCAATCCATATAAAAAAGGAAATATAGTTATGACACAGGCAAAACTAAGCGTAGACCTATGACAATCAGAGATGAAGTAAAGGAATTAAACCTTTCTTTTTAATAAGATGTTATTTGAAAAGTTAATTCCTGAAAATCTTTGTATTGAATATGCCTGGCTTTTTCTAATTTCTATTAAAATCCAGCCATCTTGTGCATCCATTCAGAATGTCAGGATCTCAGTGTGTCCCAGTCAGTTGCCAGCACCTATAATAAATGCTTGGAACAATGCAGAGATATTCCGGCTGCTCCAGCCAATGAGCCGGCTTCATTTGGAGCTCAGCTCAAATGCCTCTATACAAATGACCATAGCATGGGGAACAAACAAGAGGAATTAGAGATGTGTGCATATCTACGGGGGTATGACATTATAGGCATCACAGAAACATGGTGGGATGGCTCCTATGACTGGAGTGTTGGAATGGAAGGTTACAGACTCTTTAGAAAAGAGAGGCCTGGCAGGCAGAGAGGGGGAGTTGCCCTTTATGTTAGGGATAGGCTGGAGTGTATGGAACTCTGTCTGGGGACGGGTGAGCAGGTAACAGAGAGCTTGTGGGTTAGGGTTAAAGGGAAAACAGCGATGGGAGACATTAATGTGGGGATCAGTTATACACCTCCTGATCAAGAGGAATCTGCAGATGAAGCACTCTATAGGCAGATAGGAAAAGCCTCACGCTCACAGGCCCTCATTCTCATGGGTGACTTCAACCACGCTGGTATCTGTTGGAGGGACGGTACGGCCCGGCACAAGCAATCCAGGAGATTCCTCGATTGTATGGAAGACAACTTCCTCCTGCAAGTAATAGAGGAACCGACAAGGAGAGGTGCCATGCTTGACCTCCTGCTCACCAACGGGGAAGGGCTCATTGGAAATGTGGCACTCCAGGGCAGCCTTGGATGCAGCGACCACGAGATGGTTGAATTTGAGATGCTTAGGACAGTGAGAAGAGCGTGCAGCAAGCTCACTGCCCTAGACTTCAAAAAAGCAGACTTCAGCCTCTTCAGGAACCTGCTTAGTAAGGTTCCACGGGATATAGCCCTAGAGGGCAGGGGGGCTCAAGACTCTTGGTTGGTCTTCAAGGATCACCTGCTACAAGCTCAGGAGTATTGCATCCCAACTATAAGGAAGTGCAGCAGGAGGGCCAGGAGACCTCCTTGGATGGATAAGGAGCTCCTGAGGAAAATTTAAATGAAAAAAGAGCTTTATAGAAAGTGGAAGCAAGGACAGGCAGCCTGGGAAGAATACAGGGTTATTGTCCAGGAAGCTAGAGAGACCAGGTTAGGAAAGCTAAGGCCCAGTTAGAATTAAACTTGGCTAGGGATATTAAGGATAACAGGAAGGGATTCTACAGGTACACAGCAAATAAAAAACAGATTAGGGAGAACGTAGGCCCCCTCAGGAAGCTCTCAGGTGAACTAGCTACACAGGATTTGGAGAAGGCTGAGGTTCTGAATGACTTCTTTGCTCGGTCTTCCCTAGCAAAGGCTCTGACCGCACCACCCAAGTCTTGGAAGGCAGACGCAGGGACTGTGAGAATGAAGACCTTGGGCCCACTGTAGGAGAGGAATTGGTTCGAGACCATCTTAAAAATCTGAACGTGCACAAGTCCATGGGTCCTGATGAAATCCATCCATGGGTCCTGAAGGAGCTGGCGAATGAAGTTGCTAAGCCGCTGGCCATCATATTTGAAAAATCATGGCAGTCAGGTGAAGTTCCCAACAACTGGAAAAAGGGAAATATAACCCCCATTTTCAAGAAGGGGAAAATGGATGACCCAGGGAATTACAGACCAGTCAGTCTCACCTCTGTGCCTGGCAAAATCTTGGAGCAGATTCTCCTGGAAGGCATGCTAAGGCACATGAAAAACAACAAGGTGCTTGGTGACAGCCAGCATGGCTTCACTAAGGGGAAATCCTGCTTGACCAATTTGGTGGCCTTCTATGATGGGGCTACAGAACTGATGGACAGGGATAGAGCAGTTGATGTCATCTACCTGGATTTGTGCAAAGGGGTACACTGTCCCACACAACATCCTTGTCTCTAAATTGGAGAGACATCGATTTGATGAATGTACCACTCGGTGGATAAAGAACTGGCTGGATGGCCACACGCAGAGTTGTGGTCAATGGCTCAATGTCTGGCTGGAGACCAGCAACGAGTGGTGTCCCTCAGGGATTGGTGGTGGGACTGGTCTTGTTCAACGTCTTCGTCGCTGACGTGGACAGTGGGATTGAGTGCGCCCTCAGCAAGTTTGCCGATGACACCAAGCTGTGTGGTTCGGTTGATACGCTGGAGGGAAGGAATGCCATCCAGAGGGACCTTGACACGCTTGTGACGTGGGCTGATGCCAACCTCATGAAGTTTAACCATGCCAAGTGCAAGGTCCTACACCTGGGTCAGAGCAATCCCAGGCACAGCTACAGGCTGGACAGAGAAGAGATTCAGAGCAGCTCTGCGGAGAAGGACTTGGGGGTGCTGGTCGATGAGAAAATGAACATGAGCCGGCTTCAGTGTGTACTTGCAGCCCAGAAAGCCAACCGTATCCTGGGCTGCATCAAAAGGAGCGTGACCAGCAGGTCGAAGGAGGTGATCCTGCCCCTCTACTCTGCTCTCATGAGACCTCACTTGGAGTATTGTGTGCAGTTCTGGTGTCCTCAACATAAAAAGGACATGGAACTGTTGGAACAAGTCCAGAGGAATCCACGAGGATGATCATGGGACTGGAGCACCTCCTGTATGAAGACAGGCTGAGAAAGTTGGGGCTGTTCAGCCTGGAGAAGAGAAGGCTGCATGGAGACCTCATAGGAGCCTTCCAGTATCTGAAGGGGGCATATAGGGATGCTGGCAGGGACCCTTCATTTGGGACTGTAGTGGTAGGACAAGGGGTAATGTGTTAAAACTTAAACAGGGAAAGTTTAGATTGGATATAAGGAGGAAATTCTTTCCTGTTAGGGTAATGAGGCACTGAAACAGGTTGTCCAGGGAGGTTGTGAATGCTCCATCCCTGGCATTGTTCCAGGCTAGGTTGGATGAGGCCTTGGGTAATATGGTTTAGAGCAAGGTGTCCCTGCCCATGGCAGGGGGGTTGGAACTTAAGGTCCTTTCCAACCCTAACTGTTCTATGATTCTATGATTCTGTGATTCAGAGGAACAATGGGCACTTGATGAACCAGTAGTATAAAGCTCAAACTCAGTTTAGGCTAAGACTGAGTCTTTGAGCCTCCAATGATCTTACAGTCTGAAAAAGGTCTTGAGAGACTCTTTGAGACTTTTCTGAAAGATGAGAAAAAAAATGTAATCCTAGGCCTCAGAAAATAAAACTGTATTTGAATAAGTATTTAGTGGTTCCACAACAAAAAAGAGGAGGAAAGAATATTTGCAAACACACATGAACTAACAATACGTAAGACAGAGTAAAACACAAGGCACAAAAGTCATGTGAAATCAAGCCACACATACCTGAGTTGTTGATAGGCGAAAAACAGGGCCAGCTGTGGGCACGGAAAGTCTCGGTGACATGGTGGCAGGACCCTGTGCCTGCGTATGTACTTGAGCCTGCATTTGGGCATGTGCTAGAGCCTGCTGAGGCACCATTACAAGCTGTCCAGCATCTGTGCGCACTAAGACCATACCTAATGAGAACAAAGTAACAATAACTATACAATAAAGATAACACATGAGGTATTATGTAACTAAGGAATACAAGTAAAACTTAGGGATAGCAGTGAATGTACATTTTTCTTTACACTGTATCATTTTTTATTCTGGTGTAGCATGAGATGTTATTTCAAGGAAGAAAAGTAACCCCCACCAGCAGACAAAAACTAATACCCTATTCAGCCCGGAATTCAAGTAACTGTAGCTTATGGATAACAGTGACTAAAAAAAGGGTCACTTGCGTGCATACGCATACTTTCAGCAGTCTAGTCAGGATCAGCAGAATAAAATTAGAAATATTCATTAAAATTAAACTATAGTGATAATGTAGTAGCTGAGAATAGAATTCAGTATGAACATAGCAGGGACAATGACATGACAGCTTTACTTAAACAACAGCTTCAGGAGATGTGCACATACAAATATCAGGCCAGCCTCATTTTTTAGTATACAATACTTAAGATCTAGGTAATCGTTGCGAGTTAACAGATGAATTTATTGGGTACCCATCATCACCGCATTGGGAGGCATTACCTGTGGTTTAGACATCAAGAAAAAAATATTGGCAAATCCAGACAACCAACCCAGCCAGCAGAAAATGATACACAAGCGTGTATTTTAGGCAAACACCAAAGGAATTGTTTCAAAATTATCACAGTATTTGGCAAGTGTTTTCTAATACTTTTTGGAGGTCAATGATAATTTTTCTCAGATTTTCTGGTAACACATTTCACAAATAGAGGCATTCTACACAACACAGCCAGTGCCACTAAGCTTTGTCTTAAGTTTTCCATAATTAGCAGGTCAGAAAAGGGGAGACAATGGCTAAGCTGGTCCCTAGATCACCTGGAGCTTCACACTTGCTCAAGATCATTGCAAAACATGTAAAGTGCTTCCTTATTAAGCAGCAATTCCCCAGCCAGATCATTTAAAAGAATTTCCGAGTTACTTCCAGAATACACTTTAACAGTTTAACCTAGATAGGGTACAATAGGTCTATAAACAGAAAAATATCCTGACTGCAACTACAAGAGAAACAAAAAACATAAGAATCTAGGAAGTCACTTTTATTCTGGTGGTAAGAGTCAGTTCACAGTGTTTCTACAATTCATCTCTATGTGCAAATTGCTGCTGCTTATTTTTTTTTTTTTTTTTTTTTTACTTTTTAAGGGAAAATAAAGGAGGTAAAAGCATACATTCACTTCTGATGAGCTCCGGGGGGGGGGTGTGTGTGTGTGTGTGTGTTTAAGCCTACCTGAGTAAAGGGACATGGCTTGCAACATACCATCAGGATAAAGAAATCCAACACTATTATAACAAGCAAATACCAAATTTCAGATGTACCCTATACCAAGAAAGTCTTTCTTTCAGTCTCTTAACATAAAAATACAAATCCCAGTCGTGGGATTAACACACAAGTGAACTGCAGCACCAACAAAAGCCCTCACTCTCATAGTCTTAGGTGCTCCCACACAACCCTCCTTGCTAAAAACACAAACAGGAGCCAAATTTCTGCCACAACAAACTAAAGAATTTAGGAAATCAAGCTTTAAGGTTAAAGGAACAGAGCTTTACAGGAAGAACCACATCCAAATGCCATGTTCGTAACTCTAAGACCAGACGGGAGTTTTTAAAAGAAAAGCTGAAAAAAGCCCATAGAAACTCTTTTAAAATATATTTGCTTTTTAAGGTCCATCAGCAATTTAAGCAGCAAACCTCATGGTCTGTATTTGCAAATAATTCCATACGCAGATTATGTGCTTGGTATATATATATATATATACACCAGTACCTTGCCAACTGGCCAAACACATATCCCTCCTCTGATTACACTGTGAATCTTGTATAAAAATCCTCCTATATAAAAATCTGCCTACCACACATTAAAAACTACAGATTCATAGGTGTGTCGATTTATCTTCCAATCTTCTAAAACCAATTCTGAATTAAAAAAAATAATGAATGGAGAAGAAAAATTAATTGCAACACAAGCCACAGTTACAATAAAAGTTGTAGACATAATTACTACTATAGATGCATAAATGTTCACATATTAATGTTATGTTTTAATTCAGTTTGGAGGACTTGAAATTTCTTTTACCGAGCAATACATACAAATTAGAATCTGGTTAAATTATGAGATTATTTTTTCCTGTCAGCCACATAAGGTCAAACCACACAACTTATGATTATTATATGGTAAAATAACCTATTCTCAAAAGCTGATTCTAAATTTCTTCTTTAGAAAGAAATTTACAATGTGGGAGTTTCAAAATTAATTATAAACGATCCACCAATTTTAAGAATGAAAAACCCAAAAATATCATTGTATTTTCTGAATAACTTCCTTTAGAACATACTATCTTACTGTTTACAAAAATACAATGGATTTCAAGCTGACCTGTAATAAAATCAAATTCAAATTATAACTTTCCACAGTATTATTTCCATAACATTTTCTAAATCTTGGACCAGATCACTTTCAAGGGCTCTGTTTTCCCTCTTTTGTTTGAAAATTAAGTAACAAAATGAAATGTCAACACAAGAAACTTCAGCAACAGTATGCAAAGTTATTATCGTATGTGTATGCTAATTATCAAACAAATAAACAATGGAAAACCAAAGGCTAAAGTCACTAATGTAGTCTGAATAGCAACTTCTTACCTGTTTGAAACCACTGAGCTTTTTACCTTTGGAGCATTAGATTCTGGAGCAGGACTTTCAAAAACTACAGCCAAATATAAAACTACTAAACCTTCACTTAGAAGTGAGCTTCAACACCATTACATTTTTGCTACACTTAGCTTTTTGCTATGCTTAGCTAATATCAAGTATTTTAAGAAACATGTTGGAAAAAGTTGTTTCAGACTACATCAATAGCTCCACATATTATCATTCTATTCTTAGTACTAGCAAAAATGTATCAAAACCAGTTCAAATGTTAAATCATCTCCTAAATCAAGCCACAAAGTTACCAACTTTTTGCAACACGAAAGTCTAAGTAGGGGATCACAGAATCCTTTAGAATTTCAGTTGAAAGAATACACAATTAGAACAGGAATCACCAGGATGAAGCGATGCTGTTTTGGTTAGTTAGCAACCTTGTTGAACTTACATTTTTAGTAATGACAGTTAAAAACTAAGAGCAGAATAAACTGGATGCAACCATTACTTCAGAGTTGGAAATAAAATCCAGTGATGTAAAGCCTGCCCAGACACAGCAGAGAATTCCACCATCACACTTGCTGAAATCAGAAATTTTGGATTAAATTATGTACATCAGCCTGTGTCTCGCCGCCTAATTCACATCAGAAGATACTCCCTGAAGTAAAAAAACTTTTAAAGTCTATCAGAAGTCAAGCAGAAAACAGAGTCCTTCAAGGCACATATAAACTTACGTTTCGCTAACACCCAGCCTTTTATCTGGAGCGCGACTGCTCACTATATCCATCCAAAATAACTTACCGCGGCTGCCGCTCTCACCCCAGGACAGAACAAGTAACTCACCACACAACAGTCGTAATTAAACTGCATTAGCAACTGCCCGTCCCGTACCAGTTACACCCTCATTAACGGCAGCCTGTTTGTCAGACGTCGCCCTCAGACAGGTGCCTCCTCTTGTTCCCAGCGCGTCGAGCAGCGGGAAGACAACTTTGGGGAATGAAAACAACCTCGGCCAAAAAGAGAAAAAAGAAAAGGTTATCCCGAGCGGCTGCTGCGGTTCACTTACCCGGCGGGATGGTGAAGCCGGGGGGCAGCTGGATGGTGGTCTGGTGCTGCGGCCTCATGATCAGCTGCGGGGCAACGATCCTGGGGGCAGCACTCAATGCCGGACGGGGCGAAAGAGCCTGCGGGGCTGCGAGGGGGACTGCGCCAGCCTTAGAAGCGCTGACCGCCGGCTTGGGAGCTGCGGGTGCAGCCGGGGCGCAGTTGGTGGCCGAGCCCTGCCCCGGCGGTGCGGCAGGCGCTGGGCTGGCTGAGTTACGGAGTGCGTTTACTGCGGAGAGCGGGCCGTGCGCGGGTTTTATCTGTGCCGTGGCGGCGTCTGCTTTGCCGTGGCTGCTGACTGGTGGGACTGCCGCCGGCCGGCCCCCGGCACCCTCCCCGTTGGGCGCCGCCTCGCCGGGGAGCGCCGCGGTGGCAGCAGCAGAAGCACCCTCCGCCACTCCCGCCGGCCCGCCCCCCCCGGCCGGGGTCCCGCTCCCCCCCGCGGCCTCGTTGCGATGCGACGGCGGTAGCGTGCTGTCGGCGGCGGGCGGGCTGGGGCTGGGGCTGCCCGCTTCCCGGGCAGTGGCGCCGGCAGCCACATGGTTGTTGACAGGCTGGGCAGGGGCGCCGGAGGGCGAGAGAGCGGCGGGTTGCGCAGGGGCAGGGGCGGCGGGCGCGCCGGGGCTGCCACCGCTGCTGAGCAGAGCCGCTCCATGTGATTGCTGCACACTACTACTGTTTACACTCACTCCCCTCCCTGCCGCCGCTGCTGCTGCCGCCGCCGCTGCCGCCGCCGGGGGGGACGGGGACGGGAGCTGCCCCTGAGTAGGGGTTCGACTCTCCGCGGCTCCGGGACACCCCGCCGCTGCCTCATCTGCCACAGGAGTGGGAGAAGGCGCGGGATGCCCTTGCTGCTGCCGGACGGGGCTGCTGCCCCCCGCTAGGCTCCCCTGGTGCTGCTGCGGCTGCTGCTGCTGGGACGGGGCGGAAATCCTGGGCTGGGGCGCCTCGGCAGAGCTCCGGCCGCCGGCCAGCTGCGATTCCAAGGAGCCCACCAGATCGCTGACCGCCTTCTCGTCCACCTCCTCGGAGAAGAGCAGCATCTCTTCCAAGGGGTCCGAGGCGCCCGCCGCCATCTTGCGCTGAGTTGGGAGCCGGCCGCGCAGCGCGCAAGCGCACCGGCCTCTGCCGCGCGCTGGGCATGCCGGGAGGGGGCGGCTTCCCCCACCCACCATTGGGGCGGGCCGGGGCAGGGATGAGCGCTCATGGGGTGGTGGCAGCGGTTCCCGGGTCTGGCTGAGTGGGGGTCGTGCTCGGCTCCGCCGCTGCACAGGGAGAGCCGCAGCTCTCCTGAGGAGCGGCCTAACTGGGGAACGGGCACGAGAGGCACAGGGCCTGGGGCATTTAGTGAGAGCGCTGTCGGCTGCTCCCCGGCCGCCGCGGGAAGAGGCAGTCTTCTCCGGACAGCTGCCTATGCGGGGCTGGTGGTGCGTGTGAGAGCGTGCCGGTAGTTGTGTCTGTAGACTTCTGGCTCGGAGGTTTGACTATTGGAAGAAACCCTAGTGCTGACAGAGAGGTGTTAGGTTGCACGCTGGGAATTGAAATGTCACGCAGTCATGTCATCTTTTTGTTAGCAGAGCTGCCGTAATTATGCTCTTTGCCTTCACTTCATACCCTGTGAGGACGGCTGCAGCCAGGACAATTTTCCTCACGCCTAGGTAGAACTGAAAGCGTGTGTGTAGCCAGCTATAGTGGCTCAGATGCCTGACACCAGCTCCTTCAAAGGAGATAACTGCATATGCTGTTTGGGGCGGTTTGAAATCCTAAGAAGCACGCAGAGCATGTTCAAAGCTACAGCTCCACCTAAACAAGAATGATTGCAGTAATACAATTCCTAATGTGGATGCTGTTAACAGAAGAGTTGTAAACCAAACCCAGGATTCTTTGCATCGTCACAGCAGCTGTTCAGACATACTGTATTCCCTCAGCATCCACACAGAAAACTTGAGGTAGTTCGTTTTGATGCTAACACTTGGCATTGCACTCCTGTAAGCCCTTTTCTAATCAAGGTTTGCCTCGTGCATTCAGAAATCTCACTTATGAGAGTGGTTCTAAACTGTAATTTCTTTGACTCATGACAGAGCAGTTTGTTTGATGGGGCCTTCAAAATAACTATCCCCCTATGAATAGCCATTGACCACAGTTTGTTGCATCTGTTCTTGCAAACAGGTGATAACTACCATGGATTTGTGATGCAGCCAGCAGAAAACAGCTTAGATTCCATTATCTGTCTCTGCCAGCCTGCAGTAACTTGGATGTCTGCAAACTTGAATGTATTTGAGCTGCTGCTGTGGCCTGAAATGGTGACTCATTCTCCATTTTGCGATTTTTCAGGAATTTCCACACAATTGAAAAAGGTGCACTGGTGAAAACCCCACCTTCAATTGCATGAGCTACTGATGGAAATGAGTGCAGGGCTCACAGTGTATGCATGCACAACTCTTCTCCATTCTCAGACTCAATCTGTTAAGTCAGACATTGTATGACTTGTCAAGTCACTAAACTCCTAATCACTGGCTTGTTACCATCTGTTTCCTCTCAATGTAGGTTACATTTTTATTTAGAGTAGTTTTTCCTGGTTGTCTGTGTATACATTTAGGAGCAGGTTTATGATAAATCAAAATAAACTGCTTTTAAAATGCATTAAAAATAGGTTGTGCCAGTTTAATTAAGTTTACAAGTCTCCTGAAATTAAACCAGTATGTATTTCATCAGCAAAGTGGCCAGTGACAGTACTGAACGCTCAAAGGTGTGGTCAGGATGTATAAACAGGAGACAGTGCATTTAAGTGACTGTGAAAGCGCAGTGGTGCTTATGAGAAACACTGTTAACTGTCCACAGGAGATCTATGCATCAAAAATTTGCTTAGCAAGTGGGTATTGTTTTTATGGAATGATACAACTGAATTAAATTTGGACTTTTAACAAATGTTTCTACCTGGAAATTTGATTAAAATGTACTAGTAGACTATGACTCAATTTGTTATTGCACAAAAATATAGAATATTCATTTTTGTTGAAAAAAATAATCAAAAGCTATCCACTATTACTTTAAGAGTTGCACATTTTATTAACTTCAGAGAAGACTCCAATGCTTCCTTGACTTACATGCTTTTATCCTGCACTTGATTTGCATACCACCATCCCCAGTGTTTTTCTAATGAAGAGGTAGACATACAATTCTGCAACTAGTCCTGTATGCGAAAAAGTTTTTGTATACATTTCTCTAACACTATAGCATCAAACTGGGCATCTCCATTAAAAAAAACACACCCAGAAGAAACTTTGTGACTTCAGAAGATAAGAAGTAATCTTCACACCAGAGGAAAAAAATGGGAAGTCGTGATTTATACAACAGATTTCAAAACTTAAAAAATTACCTACTTTTAATTACAGTTTTAAAATACACTTGTGGGTGGGTAATCTGTAAAACATTAATTCATATTTCTTCCCACTCACCTCTTCTTAATTGAGCCATTTTATATATATAAACACACAGAATAAGGAAGTATAAAAGAACCATTTAATAAAACATGATATGTACTGATTCATATTGGACTCCTTTCAAGTCCAGAAGTTATGACATATGTAAGAATGTATATAAACTTGTTGCTGAAGCTGCCTTTGGGCTTGTGCTTCTATGTAGGGAATAAGACTTGGTAAAGCACAGAATCTTGGTGAACTTTTGTATTCATTCCTTTATTATAAAAATATTTTTAAAATATTTACATAACTTACAGTAATTCCTATAACATGCAACTCAAACCATGGCTTGCAACAATTTAAAGCTATTTCCACTACAATCTCCATGCCTAGTCCCTTTGGACCGCACCATAGGGTTTAACATTGCAATGAATTCCTCCCCTTGCCCCTGCTCCAGTTTCAGCTTACCCATAGACTGCAGTCCTTTAGGGGTGTACCTTCTCCAAGTGGAGCCTTACCTACAAGCCAGTGTCTCCAGGGGCATACCCGCTGCAGCAGTGACTTATCCACAGCCACAGTTGCTTTGAGGTGCACCTCTCCAGCATGGCCTCCATGGGTCACAATGCCTTCAGAGAAGTTCCTGCTACCAGCATGGCCTTAACCCATACCCCCTTAAGAAATAAACCTGCTCCAACATGGCCTTATCTACAGCTGCAGACCCTCCAGAGGTGTATCCTCTCTGTTGTAGTCTTATCCTTGGCCACGTGCTTTGAGGTGCTGCAGTATGACCTCATGCACAGCTACTGATGCTTCAAGGTGTTCCTCCTCCAGCATGGACTCATTCTTGAGTTGCATCCCTTCAGAGGTATACCTGCTGAAGCTCAAAAATAACGAGGGCCATAGATGCTTCAAGATGTGTACCTGCTCTGGCATAGACTTACCTATAGCCACACATGGTTCAGGGTGTCCTGCTCCTATGTGGTCTGATTGACAGGTCACAGTGCCTTTGACTTGAGTTCACACTGGAGTTCCAGCCTGCCCAGGAAGAACAGAAACAGCCCAGAAACAGCAGCCGTGGCCATCTGCCAGCCCAGGCACATTGCCATTGCTGTTATCAAAATGTTCCCAGGCACAGCAGTTAGATGATAAGCAGGACAGCAAGCAGCGAAAGCAAAAGGCAGCCACTAATGAGCTCAACACTCTGATACACAGTAAGGCAAGCAAGCCCCATGGCAAGCACAGCATGCTGTCAGTTAATAGCTAAACAGCAGTAACAGCTATAAACTCCATCTAGCAATCCCAGTCACATCTATTGTTACCTCAAAGCCTATGTGCCCTGTGTTGGACACCAAAAAGGCCAGTCATCGTTTAACCCCAGCTAGCAACTAAACCACAACAGAGCCACTCACTCACCCTCCCACCCCCAAGTGGGATGGGGAAAAGGATTGTAAGGATAGAAGTGATAAAACTCATGGGTTGAAATAAAGACAGTTTAATAGGTAAAGCAAAAGCTGAGCACATAAGCAAAGCAAAACAAAGAATTAATCCAGCACTTCCCATTGGCAGGCAGGTGTTCAGCCATCTCAAGGAAAACACGGCTCCACCACATGTTAATGGTTACTGAGGAAGACAAAATGCCAGCACTCCAAACGTGTCTCCCCCTTCCTTCTTCCTCCAGCTTTACATGCGGAGCATGACACCATATGGTATGGAAAACCCCTTTTGTCAGTTGAGGTCAGGTGTTCTGGCTGTGTCCCCAACTCCTTGTGCACCCCCAGCCTACCCACTGGGGGGATGGGGTGAGGAGCAGAAAAGTCCTTGGTTCTCTGTAAGCTGCTCAGCAGTAACTAAAACATCTCTGTATTACTAACACTGATTCACCAAATCCAAAACACAGCTCCACGTCAGGTACTGCAAAGGAAATTAACTCTACCCCAGACAAAACTAGGACATCGCTAAAAGAATGAAAGCACTTAGAAAGGAGCACTATTTGCCTAGTTCAATGACGTGTTCTTTTCAAATATACACCTTCAGCACTGAGATGGTTAGAGTATCAAAAGGTTATTCTACAAACACGCCTAATTTTAGTTTCATGTACTTCAGTTGCAAACAAATTTATTTTTTATATATAGTTTATAGAAATGTAGGAGTTTTTCTTTTGAAGTTAATCGTCATTGTAAATATTTGTCTGTACTTACCAAGACAGGACTTAATGGAAAGCTTTACTTGGAGCTGAGTTTAAAATGTTGATTTTCAGCAGTGGTCTCCCAGGGACTTTACATGGACATGTATATTCAGTAATTAACTGCACAACTTTGTTCCAAAATCTTTCAGTTAGTCCAGGACATGCTTAAAGCACATCACATTAAAGCTCCCTGGGCACTCAAGTCCTCCACAACGTTAGACAGTTGAACCTGTGCATAAAGTTTCTGGAAATCTAATATGGCTCCTATTTAGAATCCCACAGTCTCTTCCAGAAAAATCTGTCTTGCTATTGTGCTTCAAAGCCCTATTCTGAACAAAATACTTGCTGAATCTTTGCAATCTACGAGTGTCCAGTTGCTGCAACAAAAGCTATTAAGTGCCCTTTTCCAGAAGTTAGTCTTTGTTGCATGCAGTTTTCTAGGCTGTAAATATACAAAGGGCACCTGAGATAGTACCATGTTTTAAGAGACAAAGACTCCAAAAGGAAGCCCCATTTGTTATTTTTACTTGAGATGTACAAGTTAAGTGCAATCTCGAAATTATTATTTTGTGTGTGTGTTTAATTCTATTAAAAGGGTATTTATTGCAGATTAATCCCACACTTCAGTCAAAATTCCATCAACAGTTGCATTGCTCTGTGTTGTTTGGCAAGATCCGAACATTTCAAGGCTCTGATGACCAAGTAAAACAGAATCCCCCTTGAAATGCAAACTAAATAGCTACTGTCATCACAGCTTTTGCAGGTCTCTGCATGACTGGATTCTAAATTGCTTATTAAGGATCAACATAGCATTCAATAATAGGTGGCTTAGGCCTCTCTAAAAAACCTGAAACCCCCAAATCATAGAATCATAGAATAGTTAGGGTTGGAAAGGACATTAAAATCACCTAGTTCCAACCCCCCTGCCATGGGCAGGGACACCTCACACCAGGGATGGAGCATTCACAACTTCCCTGGGCAACCCATTCCAGTGCCTCACCACTCTTACAGTAAAGAACTTCTTCCTTGTATCCAATCTAAACTTCCCCTTTTTAAGTTTTAACTCATTACCCCTTGTCCTATCACTACAGTCCCAAATGAAGGGTCCCTGCCAGCATCCTTATAGGCCCCCTTCAGATAGTGGAAGGCTCCTATGAGGTCTCCACACAGCCTTCTCTTCTCCAGGCTGAACAGCCCCAACTTTCTCAGCCTGTCTTCATACAGGAGGTGCTCCAGTCCCATGATCATCCTCGTGGCCTCCTCTGGACTTGTTCCAACAGTTCCATGTCCTTTTTATGTTGATGACACCAGAACTGCACACAATACTCCAGGTGAGGTCTCATGAGAGCAGAGTAGAGGGGCAGGATCACCTCCTTCGACCTGCTGGTCATGCTCCTTTTGATGCAGCCCAGGATACCGTTGGCTTTCTGGGCTGCAAGCGCACACTGGAGCCGGCTCATGTTCATTTTCTCATCGACCAGCACCCCCAAGTCCTTCTCCTCAGGGCTGCTCTGAATCTCTTCTCTGCCCAGCCTGTAGCTGTGCCTGGGATTGCTCCGACCCAGGTGTAGGACCTTGCACTTGGCATGGTTAAACTTCATGAGGTTGGCATCAGCCCACCTCACAAGCGTGTCAAGGTCCCTCTGGATGGCATTCCTTCCCTCCAGCGTATCAACCGAACCACACAGCTTGGTGTCATCGGCAAACTTGCTGAGGGCACTCTCAATCCTACTGTCCATGTCACCGACAAAGATGTTGAACAAGATGGGTCCCACCACCAATCCCTGAGGGACACCACTCGTTACTGGTCTCCAGCTGGACATTGAGCCATTGACCACAACTCTGCGTGTGGCCATCCAGCCAGCTCTTTATCCACTGAGTGGTACATTCATCAAATCGATGTCTCTCCAATTTAGAGACAAGGATGTCGTGTGGGACAGTGTCGAACGCTTTGCACAAGTCCAGGTAGATGACATCAACTGCTCTACACCTGTCCATCAGTTCCATAGCCCCATCACAGAAGGCCACCAAATCGGTCAGGCAGGATTTCCCCTTAATGAAGCCATGCTGGCTGTCACCAAGCACCTTGTTGTTTTTCATGTGCCTTAGCATGCCTTCCAGGAGAATCTGCTCCAAGATTTTGCCAGGCACAGAGGTGAGACTGACTGGTCTGTAATTCCCTGGGTCATCCATTTTCCCCTTCTTGAAAATGGGGGTTGTATTCCCCTTTTTCCAGTTGTTGGGAACTTCACCTGACTGCCATGATTTTTCAAATATGATGGCCAGTGGCTTAGCAACTTAATTCACCAGCTCCTTGAGGACCCCTGCATGAATTTCATCAGGTCCCATGGACTTGCGCACTT